AAGAATTTCAACAGAATTTATCCCTGACTCACAACCTAAAAGATAAAGGGAATATTTTTAAATGTTTTATTTTGTTTTTCAAACTTACATTAAATTTATAATTTTTTGAAACTTGAAACAATGCAGCACAAATCTCAAGGTTCGTGGAGCCAGACTGAGCTGATGGAGAAAGCAAAGAATGACCAGGAGCTGTTGTGCTCTGCGACCTGGCAAAGCTGGCAGCGCGGGACAGGGAGGGAGGCCAGGTTCACGCCTGGGCAGAAGACAGGTCATCTTCGAAAGGCCCAGCTGAGGAAATCACCTCGAAGAAGGTCTAGAGCAGGGCTCTGCAAACTCTGCCTCCCGGAATGGGCCCCACCTTTCATACACACACACACACACACACACACACACACACACACCCCACACGGGGCTTCATTTGTCTGTCCACTTCTGTTTTTTCAAGGAGAGGGATTACAGCATATAGCTTAAGATCACTTGCCTGGGCTCAAATCCCTTCTCCAACTTACTGTTTCCAGTAAGCTGTGAAACCTTTAGCAACTTCCGTCACTTCTCCAACCACCAGTTTCCTCATCTGTAAAATGTGGGTGACAATCATACCCCCTCCACAGGGTGATGTGAGAGTTAGGTGTATGATGAATGAAAAGCATTTAGCACAGTTCTGGGCATCCAAGAAATGTTCAAGAAACAGCTGCTGTGTTAAAAATAATACTACTGCATAAATAATAATGGTATCATAATTTAATAGGTTTTACAATTTTGTTTGGAAAAGAAAAAGGCTTTCATTGATTAGAGACAAGAAAAAAGGTTGAAGATTTCTTTTCTAGAATGGAAAAATTGAATGCTCCCCATTCTCCTTGTCTTGGAACGCATGAACCACAAAGAAAGCAGGTGCCAATCTCAGTTCTACTAGGAGGAAGATGAGCTGAAACCCAGCCCAGCTCTCCCCTATGCCTGAGGGACCTTGTGGCCTGTACACCCTGCCACCCACTCTGGCTGTGTCCCACTTGACCTAGCAGAGCTACACACTTCCCTCGAATATCAAAGCTGGACTATTGCACAGAAGGTAGGAAAAAAGAAAATAAAACTGGGTGTTTATGAAGTGGATGTCATAATAATCCTCAGAAATAACTAAAATTATCTTTTAACAAAAATCCTTTTTATCAATAACTCCCTAAAAACTGAGCTCAGTGACTTGCTTACACACCATCCCTAAGCATTCTGAAGAAGGTGTCTCTCAATGCAATGATAATCATGTGTTATAACTAGAATTAGTGATTGACCCATACTCATTTAGCTCTTAAGCAAATTAAAAGACTACTCATCTTCACTGAAAATCAATGTCTGTTTAGGTCCAGAATGTGTCTATGGAACTGTGGATTTCCCAAGAGGTACAAAATGGTGTGTGTATGTGTGTGTGTGTGTGCATGCTCGTGAACAGAACAGGGGGAGGGAGCCAGAAAACCTCCCTTCGGAGGCTTCAATCCATTTATATCTAGATGGTCACATTCTGACAAGGGGTTTCTGAGACAGGAGCATCATCAAAGGATGAAGAGCACTGACCCCCAATATTTAAAAAGGTTCCCCACAGCTCTCCATGGCTGGGTCACCTAGCAGAGACTTCTAAACCCAGAACTTCATTTTATGTGTCCTGCCCTCAGTCAGGGAGAGAAAGGATGAGATTAAGCAAGCCTACA